GAAAATATCGAAGATTGCAACAATATGCGTAAGAAATACTGAAAAACGCTTTTGTTTGTGATTTTCAATATTTAAATAAAAAACAAAACGATAAAATAATATAACAAAAATAAAAATACATGTGTTGTTATAGTTATTTACATTAGGCATTAATATGTTTATTTAATAAAATATATTGCAAATACCACAACATACCACACAAGATACGATGCCCGCGTCACTGAAAAACGAAAACTCGAGCTCTTATTGGCCATCAGCCAAAGGTAAATGCGAGTGCGCAACTGCTAGCCAACGATCCGCTTCGTATAAAAGAGCGTCGTTTCCGTTCATTCAGCAGTACACTTGGAGGCGAGTGAAGGAGCAGAGCAAAGTACTTGAAGATCAGCAATTCGAGTTGTAAGGATGTGTGGCAGTTTTCCTTAATTGGTACGTATGTAGCTCGAGTGTTTAATGTTGGTGTAATATTTTGCAGGTAGCAATGCAGTCGCCGAAGGACAGTGCCCCAGCCGTGACCGCGGTCCAGGTTCCAAGCGGGACGAGGCTCGGCGGGCCCTCCCAGCGAGGAGCCCTGCCAGGGAAGCGCTGCGCCCTCTTCGGCCCAGCTACGTCGCCTCGTCCTTGTCCTTTCAATACCGGTCCGTCCTCTCCTGAGGACGAGGTTCTTGTTTTCGGAAGGACGGCTGCCGGCGGCTGCTGTTCTTGCGGCGCGTGCTGCAGGCTGCCCGCAGGTGGGTGCAGGACTCCTGCTGGGCGCGTACGCCGGCGCCAAGGCCTACCCGGGGGTAGGCTGGGCTTTATCGGTGGGAGAGCAGACGGCCTTGCTTGCAACCACGGTGTGCAGGCCGGTGGCTCTCGTGTGCCGCGCGCCTGTGTCGTGCACAGACTGGTGTCTGTGCAAAGCTCTAGACGTCGCGGAGGCGGTCTTCCCGTGTGTCTCCATGCCCCCGAGCCAGGTAGACGCTTCTGCCTCTTGAAAACGCCTGTTCTGCTTGCGTGGTTTTTAACTCTGCGTTTCGACATTACAGGTGTACTACGGCGCTAAGGAAAGAGTGGCGAGCTGCGTTTGCTGGCCTCCCCGCGCAGCTGCACGATGCTTCGCCAGAGTTTGCCCAAGTTCGCATTAGGACTACGCAACGCTCCTTCGTATTTGGTTTTAATGAGTATTTTACTAGTTATGTTCGGAAGACTAGAAATTTATATTGCATGTATATTGTGCTAATTATAATAAACTTATTTCTATATCTCTTAAATATTTGAACTGATTTTCTCCTGCCTTCTTAACAATTCTTTTAAAAATTTATGGGTATATTTGCTTACTAAAAATACCCACCTCATTTGTTTTATCGGTTCTCTCCTTTTTGCCTGCTGTAATCAGCGGACAAAAACCCATAACATTACGACCTTTCAGTTTTGATTTACAATAAGATGTACAAGCTTTTTTAATAAATTTAGATTATCTAAATCTTATCGAGTACTAGCGCGGACTTCTAGCGTGCTGCTGTGCGAAGAGACAATGCTGAGATATTTTTTTTGGGGGGGGGGGGGGGGAGGGGGGTATTTACGCAACTGAAATTGATGTTGTACAGATCTAATAAATATCTAATAACAATGGAGGAAAATGGGTGTACAAAATATAATGTACCTCAGCAGTGAAATTATCGTGAACGTGATGCATGGAACTAAGTAGCGCATTGTTAGAGCTTTGGATCAAAAATATCAAATAACATATTCTTTTGATTGTGGAACTGATATAAATGTAGCAATGACAATATAATTTAACATCTAGTTTTGTTAAAAGGACTGATTGTAAAATTGGTCATTACGTTGCTCTGAATCTATTTGGATGTTAATTGAGTGGGGCCTTTATTAAAAGGCATTTTAGGAAAGTCTTTCTTTTGTGTCGATTTTGTCATCCCAAAGAATCGTTTTTGTGTAATGACGTTGTCACGATGCAACCATTTTGTTATGCCCTTGATGCAAATGTCTAGGGCTTACTTGTTCATATCTGTGTATTTGGCAGGACAATGTTGGCATAAAAAATTGGTAAATATAATGTAGCGTATTGATAGGAGTGGGGTATTTTCCTTAACGTACCTATTGAAATTTCCAGTAGTCTTAAAACTGGTGATGTTTAGAGGGATTTTTTAAGGAGTTGGAAACTAAAGTTAAATGCGGAAGAATGATTCAAATAGGTTCAGATGTTGGGAGGGGCAGTATTTTCATTTGTGGTACTCGGTGTTGATAGAATGAAGACGAAAATGGATAAATTTATTAATAAATTTTGGGGATAATATTTACCGAAATAATTGTAAAATCTATAAGTTTGTGGAGAGTAATGTAGGTTTGGAAAGCTTAATGACCTCAACGAAATGATAAATAATTCGTTGAGGTCAAATGTCAATGATAATAAATTTTTCGTTGTAGTGGATATTGTGAATGAGTCGTGTCCCAGAATAGATGGTTTTTCTATACCAATTAGAGATTAGTTGACCCCCTTTGGTTGATGGTGACATTCAGGTAATTAATAGAACCTTCTTGTATTTTAGAATGGTATAAATTGAACATATAAAGTGTATTGTTGATTTGGTTAGATGCCTCAAAGTATATTAACATAGCTACAATGTGTTTAAAATCCAGGCCGCTTAAGCAATAATTTTTCCATCTCTCTCATACCTAATTTAACAAATAGAGGTGACAGAATATATCCCATTCGTGATCCTTCAACTTGTTGGTAAATTCTTTGGTTGAAAGTAAAGAAATTGGAATTGACTATGAGGTAGAGAGCAATATCATTTTCTTCCTCTGTTGTTCCTGTGGTTCTATTAGATGCCATTTATTATGAATTCTGTGGTTCACTATTCATTAGTTTCAGAGTAGGTTCTTAACACGTTGACAGACGCGTCACACGTATGTGACTGATATTAATTTCTTGTTGGTCATGGCAGACACAAAAGACTGACAATCTTCAACTTGGATGGAGCCGAGTCAGGCACTGGAGGCTGACGTTAAATGCAATTTTACGTGGCATAGCGAACGTTTTGTCCCCTGTCAATTTCTCGAGAAAATATTACATACCCATTTCTATGAAAAAGATAAACTAGTGGTGCTATTTATTTTATGCATCATCCGAGGAAAGAAAATAATCAATCAATTGGTGCGATTTTGAGAATATTTTAAATATATTAAGGCTTCATGTAAAGTATCCCTCAAAATAGAAGTACTTATATCAAATTCCATAGCTTGAGTTAGGGCGGATCGACTGAGGAATATCCATTTTGGAGAAAATTGTCTTGAAGGGTTTAGACGCTAGCGTACACCCCAGATATTTGACCGTAAACACTTTTTCGGTATCAAGGAACCATATAACATAGATTCTGATCACACTTGATAGAGCAGGAGTTTTCAAACATTCCACGGTTCGCTTGACCTAAATGAAAATTCTCGCGGCTCCACTGGTAACAATATGTTTTGAAATGTAAGGGTTAATATAGGCCTACTAGAGATTCAACATAAATAAGTGATATAATAGGCTATTTTATTTCTCCGTTCTATTTAAGTATTAAAATAAGACATAAAACATTTTATTCAACTGTTTTATGATAAATTTTCTTTAAAAGTTAACGGGAAGGATGGGCTTGTTTCTTCAACATTTGCTCAAATCTTAGATTAATATTTGAAACTATGTCTCTCCATTCTTCTTCAACGATCAGTTCCCATGTGTTTTTTTTTCAATAATGCCAATTTCAAAATCCTATCTCACATAAGTAGGATGATGCAGAAGGGATCAAAACTCGTAGGGCCATGTTTTCTATTTGTGGATACTCCTTTTTCGTCAAGCTGCAGGCCATAGTACGAGCTTCATCAGTGTACACGCCTTCACACGTTTCCATTTAACGTTGTTTCGTTTCACATAAGAGTTCCAAATGGTCTTCGGTTTTGCTCAAAGAGTGCTATTTCTGCTGTAAAGGATATCTTCATGTAACTTGATATTATTAATGTGCCTCACGTACTAACAAATTAAATACGCATCATCGTGTATATCTGTAGCTTAATCCAAAAGAATGACGAAATCAATTTCTTAGAGTTTTCAATGGCTTGACCATTATATCGTTATCCATTTCAATAATCGACGACTAATTGTTTTGTTTGACAAAGGCACACTTGCCAGTTGCTTGGCAACAGTCTGTTATAATAGACACCATCTGTCATAATATGTCAAAGGCAGCTAGTAAAACGAGTTTTTCAGCAAAGGTGTTGAGGTTCCTTGCTCTCTATAGGCAACTTTGTTATATGAAAGAATGTAGGTATTGTAGCTTGTTTAATGAATGTTGATTGCTGAGCACTAATTTATTTCGGCTAATGAGAACAGGCTTATTTACCAAATTTCCAGGATTTTACTCCAAATGACGTTTGAAATTATTACGAAGCATTCTTTCACTAGCCAGCACTTTCAAGCCAGTCGCAGATTGTGGTCATTGTTCTTTTCCAACAACAGTATACGTAAAATCGCAGTTGAAGTAACTGTCGTCATACTTCCCGTATTTTTGTCTAATATTGCCTTTAGAAGCATGCTCGCTTTCCACTACGCGGCCCCGGGTTCGATTCCTGGTTAGGCCAAAACTATAGTGTGCGTCTTCCTTGCAATGTTCCAGTATATGTTGCTGATTGACGATGCGAAAATCTACTTCTCAGGTTGAAAAGACCGGAATACGGCATGTGGATGTCTACGTGCTAACCAAATGTACCCCCTTAACCCATGGCCGCGAGGCAGGGACGTAGCCGGTAGGCCTGAGCCCGTTCACGGGCTGTCGCGCCAAGTACCTACATACATAGTCTTTAGAATCGCATGAACTTCTTCGCTTTGTACTAATTTTATCGCAGAAACAACACCGAAACACAAAATTACACACAATTTGCTACACAAAATTATCGCAGAAAACAAGAGAACGATCTGCTTTTGAGGTAACTACCATCGCAACTGATTCTTACTATTCACATGTTTCGTGCTGCGACTCGACCTACGACCTGCGATTCCGTGACCTGCTTTCTGGGAAAGGAAGTGGAGGCAATCGCTCTTGAGCAGAATGTCGGCGAGGCCGCGCGCTTGCGTGGGCACGGAACTCTTGATCTGCATGGGTGCAAATATTAAATATCCCCAGCCGCGACGCGCACTTGAGATGTACGATGATGCTAACGGTGCCTCAGAAGCTTGTTGGTAAAAGACTTTCCAGATTCAATTAATGCACAATTAATTAGTAAAATAAATCATATACATTACATATAAGTAGGGGCGGGTTTTGATGACCAAAAATGCCCTAAGTGCTTTAAAATGCCTTAAAACAAAGAAAACTGACATTAAACAATTGATGAAGACCACTTCAGATGAAGCTGTTGGGTAAGGCACTGATGTAATCGAAACTTTTTGCTTTTTTTTCAAGTGAACTGAGATTGCAAATTTTGGTTTGGGTTGTTCTTTAACAGAAAAACTCCGTTTTTCTTTATCACAAAATTTGTTGAAATGACAATGGCGCCGATACTTGTCACAGGAACCTCAGATTACATAGTACTAACAAAGGCTGACATTACAATACATGAGCGAAGAAATTGAATCTGCTGCTCAGGAATTCTGTGGTGAACTTTTGTTGCACCTCATAAATGAATTGTTTGAAACAAGTACCATTAAAATTATATTAAAGTCGATGAAATCAAAAAATGCAGAAAAATGATTTATTAGTCGAAATCGACGAAAATGCAAAAAAAAAGACGTATAAAATGTGTCATTTCTTTTCGTCATGACACAAAGTGAATTTCTGTACTAAACAACATTGTTCTAAAGTGAAAAGAAAAAAATGACATTTAATTAAAATCCGCCCCCTACTTATAACATATAGTATAGTAGGTCAAAATTATTTTGTGGACATTACTAACACAAGGATTAAATCTAAAGATCATTTTTAATAAACCATCGGAACTC